GACTTTAGATGGCCAACAAAGTTTGGTGCCAGAGAGAAAATCATTTAAGCTTACTCAGACTGTACACTAGAATAAAACAACTGGACCAGCTGTAATCACTGTGACGCCAACTCAACTTATATCTGATGATTCCATGGGCCGCAGGGCTTATGTCCAGGACAGGTGCACCTCCAGGCCGATAATCTTCCTGCAACACACCAAAGACGCAATTTTATAGTCGAAAAAAAACAGGATGCAAAAGAGGCAGGAAGCATGCAATTTCGACAGAGGTGGTCAAGGTCGACTCTCCTAGACCAATTCCAATCATTTCCAGCAATTTTTATTTTTTTCATTTTTGGCCAAATTTACAAAGGCTATAGCCTTTGTGTTTTTAGCGAAAATTGGTGGGTCCGGATTTCGACGGAAAAGTAGTCGAATCGACAGGGGTGAACCAGGGAACCACAAAACTACTTTTGGTTCCGCAAGAAACCACCCCTGTCCAGACACACTTGAATTTTAAGGGTTGTCTTTTGAATCTGGCGGGCAGCGTACAATGGGCTGCCTACCTAGCGGGCGAGCCGGTACAAGAAAAACGGGCGTAACTCGCTTAAAATGGGTCTGCGACGTGAAATTTCGACGGAGAGTTAGTAAGAGGGTGCTGTCAAACCAATCCTAACCATTCCCAGAGATTTTCAATTTTTATCATTTTTGGCAAAATGCTACCTAAGGCGCACTGGCTAAGAAATCTGCTGCAGTGGGTCAGCACTATGATATTACTGTTACTGTCATGTCAACTCACCTAATCTTTTGGGTAAAATGACTCCATAGACTTCTCTTGCTCATGTCAAGAACATTTCTGGGCCGAGTTCCTGCAATCATATTAAACGGTACTTTGAGCGCTCATCCACTATTAATTACATATAATTTACTCATACAATACACTTTTAAATGCCTCTGTCCCCATGCATCTCTAAATGACTATGGTCTTTCAAATAACTAATTTTGGCACTGGATTAAACATTAAGTGCGAAGGGGCAGCTGCAAATTATCTGCAACGCACATTGATTGATTTTTTGGGGGATTACGCAAATAGTACCACTCGGTTTGCACCCCAATCAGAAAGTAATAAAGTTTTCTGTTCCACGAGAATAAAATAGAGTAAAATATATGACATGTGAAAAAACACTGGCAGGTTCACCCATTTGCATAAAGACCTACAACAGTATTTAACATACTGCATGGATTGGAGGAGTCTACCCATTCAACACCTTTTCAACAAAGCTGACAGTGAGCCAAGTTACTTACATCTCGGCCTCAAAAAAAAAATAACTTACAACTTAATTGTGCGTGTAAAAATTGAGCGACAGGAGCATAACCTCCTACAACAATAACCGGAATGGAACAATTCAATATTCCGGACCGGAAACAATCAAGCACTATACCTCGCGATTAATATCGAAAAGCCGCGTTGTCCACTCTAAAATTCTGGTTAAAATTCTATGATCATCAATTATATGAGTAGGTATTATCGGTATTTGGCAGAAACGCCGATCGTGACACCACTGTTTGTTTACGTTTCTATAAAGGCGCGGGAAATGCGCGGTGGGGAGGAGGAGAGGGGTAGGGTAGGGGACGCGGCGACGCGGCACGGCAAAGGGGGAGAGCAATAATTACGGCATACTCACCGACATATCGTGGTCGCGGGATGTGATTCTTTCCTGGGGTAGGCAATCCCGCCTTGCTTGTCCA